CGAACGAACCCATCTGAGTTCGCGAACATGTGGGTGGTAGCGCCGGTATCGGCAACATACCTACCCCGCCTAGCCTGCTGTACACCCCCTCGACCAACGACTTTGTGACATTCGCCTGAGATGTCACCGACCACCAGCGCTTCTTCTGCCACGTCCAGTGCTGTGGCGTCCGCGGACGCCCCCCCCGCTGGCACTTCCACTACAAGCACCGCCTCCTCGGTCGGGCGCTTGCTCTTGTCGTGCCCGTAGCCCTTGCATGTCTCATCGCAAGATTCGCTCCCGACCTGCTGGCCCAGCCGCCTTACAGCGGCTGCCGTGGTCCTTGCCCACCATCTCTCGCTTGCTGCTGGAAAAATCCCTCGCCACCGCCGAGCGGCAGCGTAGGCTCTTGTTGGCCATCCGTGGCGGCAACCCAGCCGCCACTACTGGCTGCATCCGCCACGACGCTGCCAGGACCCTTCTTCTTCACCGACTCCTCCACCAGGGGCACCAATTGCGAAATCTGCCGTTGCAAACTTGCAAGCTCTGCATCGCGGCCCTCCTCCACCGGCGAGCGGATCTGTTCTCCGCTCGCAGCAGTGGGCATCTCTTCTCCGGCAGAGCTCATCCCGATGTGGCTTCCCTCGAGGGGCAAAAATCTAGACTGTTTGCGGCCTACGCCACTTTTTTATCGGGTGAGACTGTTTTGGCGATGTATTAACTTCACGAGAGGTAGACGACCGTCCTTCACACGGACGAAAGAGGGAGTGCCCCACATGGGCAGCTCCTTCACCAAGGAGGGGCCCCGTGACTCATCGCGGTGCCCCCTGCCAAACGGTAATCTTACCAATCTGCGTGACACCAAAATCATACAGCACACATGTATCCAACACCAATCAATGTTCGCAGACCCACGAACATAGGATACCGGGTCGGGCAGGAGAGCGATTGGGTGTCTCGTCTAGGAGAGGACCTCGTGGCCTTTAACCGGGCACCGAAAAGGAAGGGGGGAAATGGAAAGAAAGTGTTCGCGCGTGGAGGTAGATTAGTCGGATTGTACCAAATCACTGGCG